TACCTGTTGCCTAGAGATTACGAGGTGGAAGATTTGGGTTAAAATGATTCACTTGAAATTGCTTCGTGTGGGTGTGGTATGTATGTTTATACATCACTCTCTCTCTCTCTCTCTCTCTCTCTCTCTCTCTGTCTGTCTGTCTCTCTCTCTTTCTATCTCTCTCTCTCTCTCTCTCTCTCTCTCTCTCTCTCTCTCTCTCTCTCTGTCTCTCTCTCTCTCTCTCACACACACACGCACATTCACCACACACAAACACAGAGAGGGGGAAGGGGCGAGGGAGAATGGCTCCGACAGAAAATAGGGGATAAGGGTAGGGAGGGAAGGGGATAAAGGAGAGAAGGTAAAAGGGAAGAGGGAAATGGGAGAGGAAGAGTCAGTTTCGGGAATGCTTTGGAGTGAGACAGAACGGCAGAGCGGAAGAGGGAAAGGGAGAGGGAGCAGGAGAGGGCGAGGGAGGGGGAGAGAAAAGAGTGGCGTGAGGTACATAGGCATAGGAAGGTATATTGAGGTGGGGGAGCAAAGTAGCCCCCAAATATAGCCGGGGGTCCTGGGCGCTGCAGGCTCCTGGTGGGGTCCAGGGGAAGCGCCCCCTGGTGGAGCAGGGAGCCAAGCCCCCGGGAGCTCCTGGATTTTCAGCAGTTTTTATAGAGTTAATCTCATTGGTTTCTGAACTAAGATGTCAGGTTTTTTATTTAGATAATAATCGCACTTTGTCTGTTTGCGGGGAATGTCCTCGAAAGTTGAGGAGCGGGAGGGGCAGAAGTTGGCGCCCCACTCCATTCTAGAGTGTGTGTGTGTGTGTGTGTGTGTAGGGGGGGTAGTCTCCCTCTGCCTCCCTTTTCCTACGCCTATGAGGTAGACGGAGCGTGAAAGAAAAGAGGAAAAGTCTCTCTACATCTATCTTATCCCATGGAATTTCCTCGGCTCTCTCTGGCAGTCATCATATAACCACAGCAGCCACAAAGGTCACAGCAACATTTTCGATGACACAGCGATTGGAAATTCCTCCAAATTCACAACCTACCCCCCCCTCCCCCCCGTAGTACCCGCAGAGTCAGAGCGCAGCCGCAGCTTCTTCCAAGCTCCGCCCACTCGACCGCTCCGTGGGCGTCAAAAGTAAGTAAAAAGCGAGAAAAAGGGGAAGAAGATACACGAGATAATAAAGATGTATGCGTCTCTTCCCTCATCCTTTTCACCATCTATGTATGTATCTTCTGTCATTTATTCTATCTTTTCATCTATCTTTTCCCTCTATCAGTATAGTCAAAGGAACGCGCCAGACAATAACTGGAGTCCACATGCGCGATGAAACTCTACGGGATTCGAACGCCAGATTACACTGTCTCTCCGGCCGCGATCGGTCATCTTCTCTCGCTCGCAAGGTCGCGCTCGCCGCTCTGGTCCTCGTCGGGTAGAAACGCCAAAAATGTTACGAATCTTATCAATGTGCATACAAAGGAGGCTTATTCTATCCTTAAGTGTGTGTGGATATACCCTTCAATCAGTGTGAGTAACTTGCGTATGGGTATACTCAGGTATGCCTACAAATCTTTTGGTTTTTTTTTGTTCTTTTTATCCATTTCCGTTATTTTGCGTACATTCTTGTGCAAAATAGATCGATTACAAGATATCATACTAAACTCTTTTCTCTTCTGTGACTTAATCTATATAACGCCCGGCTGCTTCATTAAAAAAAAGTGTTTTGCATATGAAACTTCTGTTTTTTTTATTATTATTACTAATTTCAGTTAGAAATAAAGAGCATCTGACATCATAACCATTTACCGTCTCCTATTCCAGAGCCTCGGATTTCTCACGCCTTTGTTTACGCGCCTTGGGGTCCCGTCGAGGGGGTCAAAACAATTGCCCCCGCAGTCTCTGTCTCGTGGACAGCCTTGCTTCCTTCATTAATATCTAAATCAATTTGACTTCATTAATATCTAAATCAATTAAATCAATTTGAATTTAATATCTAAATAAAATTGACTGTAGATCAACAAAGTACATCATTGTAGAGCAGTATCTCGCATTTTTTTTTTTTCAAATCTTCGACACGACCGCGGGACCCCCCCCTCCCCCGTATCATTATTTAGGATAAGGACGAGAAAAAGAAAAAAAAATATATGTATACAACCACCTAATTCACTTACCTGAAATTCCTCGAAGACATCTTTACGGTTTAATATCACACGAACGTAAAATAAATCAATCTTTCCCACTTTTTCCTCGAGGTTTGCCGATTCCCGCGTTAGCCCAAGTAGCAAATCCAACAGTATTTATCAATTTACTTGCGTGTCTCGCTCTGTTTCCTTTACTAGCAGCATAAAAAGCATATGTAAGAAAATCAGGAGGATAATCTTCGGATGATTTGGCCTGAGAACCATTTTATTAGATGTTGGCAGCGATATGGGATGAAACTAGACTAGTCATAATGCGTCCGAGAAGGAAAATGAATAACTGGCAACTCAACCCCAGGAATTAGGCGGTATTTTCAAATACAATCATTCAGAGATACCTTTTTCTATTATTATTATTAGTAGTAGTAGTAGTAGTATCATAATAACAATTGTTATCATCATCATAATAATCATTATCATCTTCATAATTATTATCAATATCATAATTATCATTACTAGCATTACCATCATTAGCATTAGTGTTGTCATTATCATTATTCTTATTATCATCATCATTATTATTATCATTATCATTATCATTTTCATTGTTATTATCATTACTATTATTATCCTTATTGTTACCATTATTACTATTATCATTATTATTGTTAGTATCAATGTTATTATTACTGTTATTATTATTATCATTATTATCATTATCACTATTATCATTGTTATTATCATTATTGTTATCATTATTATCATTGTTATTATCATTATTATCATTGCCATTATTGTTATCGCTATCACTATTATCATTATCATTATTCTTTTTATCCCTAATATTATTATTATTCTATCATTATTATGATTATCATTTTTATGATTATAATTATTATTGTCATTATTGTTATATTTTTTATCATTATTATTATCATCATCATCTTTATCATTATTATTATTTTCATTATCATCATTGTTATTGTTATTATTATAATTATCACTATTTCATTATTATTATCATCATCATCATTATTATTATCTATGATTATCATCATCGTTATCATTCTCCTTCTTATTATTTTAATCTATCATAACTGTTATCAATTATATCATAAGCATCATTATCATTATTATCATTATTGTCATTTTCGTTGTTGTTGAACATCGCCATCGCCATCAGTGTTAGTAGTAGTGATAATAGTAGTAATATAATAATCATCTACATTATTTTCGTCATTAATGTCATCATCAATATCATCATTGTTAACAGCTTGTTCATATCAACTGAAGGCTCGGTAGCTTTAGCTTAGTTATCCCTATAAATATGAGGAGTTTTCTATGGATTTTTCTTTTCAGAAAATGAATCCAGTTTTATTGTAAACTATTTTAAATTAGTTCCCGTCATTTTGGCATTTCACTAAAATATCATCATTATCAGGACTAGTATTATTATCGTTATTGTTATCATTATCATCATCATTCTTATTATTTTAATTATTATGAATATTATTATCATTATTGTTGTTGTTGTTATTGTCATTATCATTATTATTATTATTATTATTATCATTATTATTATTATTATTATTATCATTATTATTATTATTATTATTATTATTATTATTATTATTATTTTATTTATTATTATTATTTATTATTATTATTATTATTATTATTATTTATGTCTCTCTTATCATTATATCCTCATCCTAATCATTATCATCATTATCATCTCCATTATTACTATTATTATTATTATCATTATTATTATTATGATTATCAGTATTATTGTTATTATCATATCATCATTATTATTATTAGTAGTAATAGTAGTAGTAGTAGTAGTATCCTCATCATCTTTATTATTATCATCATCCTCATTATCATTATTATTATCATCATCCTCATTATCATTATTATGATCATTATTATCATTATCTTATTGTGTTTTTTTGTTATTATAATTTCTTCTTATTGTTATCTTATTGTTATCATTATCATTGTCATTATCGTTATCATTATCATCGTTTTTCTTTTTGTTGTTGTTATTGTTATAATTTTTATTATCATTATAATTATCACCCTAATCATGCCTCCTCTTCCAAGTGTTGTTTTTATTATCATTATTATTATCATCACTATTATCATTATTGTTGCGATTATCATTATCATTAGTAATATTATTATATTTATTATCATCATTGTTATTAGCACTAATAATTCATTTATTATCATTATTATTATGTCTTTTATTGTTATTGTTATTGCTATTGTTATTATTATTAATATTACTATTATTACCATTCTTATTGTTATTGTTCTCATTATCAATAGTATCATGTTATTTCTATTGTTATATCCATTATTTCTATTATTACTACTATTATCATTATCAGTATCAACATTATTATTATCATTATTGTTATCATCCTTATTGTTATCATCGTTATTCTTGTCTTCATCCTTATCATAATTGCTGGTGTTATCTCATGATATCGTCAGCATTGTCATTAGTTTAATTACCGTCGTTACTATTCTTCTTGTGATTAATGTTACTATTATATTTTTACCTAAATAGTTGGCATCATAATGTTATCCTTTCATAAGAGTATAAACATGATTATTATTTTGATTACTAACATTGCAGTTCTTGTGATTATTATCACTATTATCTTATTAACGTTACCATTTACCATAGTCGTAAATCATGTTTACAATTATGATTAATTCATCATCATTACTGTGATCTTTGTATCCGCTCTTTTTCTTCCAGAAGATGTTTTACTGATTGTTATTATTATCATTATTATTTTATTTTATTTCATTTTTTTGTGAGATTCGTTGACAATTTTTTTTTTTTGTGGAATTTGAAAGTCGGAGGGAATGGCACAGGCTTTTAATTTGCTTTCGGCAGGCACGGTCTCCGGAGTTCTTTCCTCCGACAAAGACCTTCAGGTGTCCAGATGCTGCAGCTCTCTAGGCGCGTCGGAGTCGATGGGCTGCTTCCCTCTCCTGCGGCGATTCTGAGTTCGGGAATTGGCTTTTGGCCAACGCCTGCTGCTTCCTGAGGGCGCTGCAACAGCTCATCCTGCAATCCTTGTCTTCCGTTTCTGATTCGTCTTTTATTTTTATTTTTACGTAAGGATTTCCAATTGCATTCTTTTGTGTCTTCTCCGACGGCGTCGCGGACCGCTGCTCCTTCCGCGGCTGCGCCTCCCTCCTTCGCCATCTAAGCCTGCGGCGCGCCCGCCGGGGCCTTCTCCGGCGTCAGCGCCAGCAGCATCATGCGGAGGCCCTGCCAGACCTCCTCGGCGGTGGGCAGGATCTGGCTCGCCTGCAGGTAGAAGCCGTAGGCCCCTTCGTCGCGCAGTTCGAGCGTGTAGACGTACTTGGTGTTCAGGACGCCCTTGGCCCAGTCGTCGGTGGCGCCCGAGGCGTAGTAGAAGCCACTGGCGGAGTTGACGACGCTGTAGACGGTGCCGTGGAGCTTCTGGGCGGCGCTGGCGAACATCTCCCCGACCCTCCTCATGGCGGGCGTGTCGGGCGCCTCCTCCGCCGTCCAGCCCCAGGGGTACATGAGCACCTGCCCGTAGCTGTGCAGGGCCACCACCAGCTCCAGGTTCCCGCCGTCGGCGACGGCCGTCATGGCGTCCCTCAGCGCCTGAGTCTCGGGCTCCGAGAAGGTGGCCGGCCCCTTGTACACCTCGCTGCAGGGGTTGCTGGAGGCGCCGACGCCGAACTTGTAGCCCCAGTTGCGGTTGAGGTCGACACCGTCGCAGCCGCCCCCGGAGATCGGCCTCCGGTTCTTGCGCCACAGCCGGTTCGACGCCCACGAGTACAGGTAGCCGTCGGGGTTGGCCATCGGCACCACGTACACGTCGATGGCCCGCGTGACGGAGCACTGCTGGGCCAGCGTCGCCACCAGCTGCAGCGCCACCGCCGGGGAGATCCACTCCCGCGCGTGCAGACCTTTGGCCGGGAGAGAGACACGCTGTAGGCCGCCTGGCTCGGGGCCTCGCCTGGCATGCAGGGCAGGCAGAGGGCAGTGCATGACAACTAACTCGCGTGCATGACAGGCAAAAGCAACAACGATTTATCATTATCTCAATGCAGGGACCAACGACTATCTCAAAAAGCAATGGTGACGAACAGACCAACTTCACAAAGCAAGACAAAACAAGATATCAAATATTCTTACCTCAGACTGAACGCGACGCCACCGTGAGAGAAGGAAATAAAGCAAGAAAAAGAGGCAAAAGACAAAAGAGAAAATCGTGAAGAAAGATTACTTACCGTTTCCGTTTTACCGTTTCCCGTTTTGAACACCGAATCACCAAATGAATAAATGAACAAAGGGAAAGATAAAACTAAGGCGAAAGAAAGGATAAAGAGACGGGAGACAACAGAGGACACGGCTTGGTCACGTGACTCGAGTCTTGAGTCGTCTTGAGTCTTCCTCGAGCCTTTCCGTCGCACAAGATCCTCACTCGTCTTCGAGGTCGACGTCACGTTCCATCGTCAATGTTATAATATATTTGTCAGAACAATATTTTTTTCTTTCTATGGTATACGTAATAATCATGTTTTTGTAAGAACTACAGTCTATATGACAGTGATTCTAAGCCCTTATTCAGAATCTCAGAATCTGAGGTTGCAATAGATCTTAAAATTTATATAAAGGTGAAAAATACGTAAATGCGAGAAATATAAAATCTATGTTTTGAGTATTCAGACGTTAGTGTAATATATGTGATAAGGATAAGAAAAAAAAAAACAATTTTCACAAAATGAGGTGGAGAGGGGGGGGGGGGTTACAGACACCCACCCCCTCCCCAATCTGGAAACGTCCTCACTCACAAAATAAGGTAAGTTATAAACAAACAAACAAACAAATTCGCTTAGATTGTTTTCATTATTCATCAAAAGATATATATATATATATATATATATAATATATATATATATATATATATATATATATATATGTAGACAAGACAGAAAAGTGAATGATTTCACACACAAAAAAATATTCTGATCGACTTCTGACCAAAGAGACAACATCAAAAACAAAATGATTCATTCTCAATCATAATTTTTTCTACAATCACAAAAAAAAAAAAAAAAAAAAAAATCTTTCTAAAGCAAACACCAAAATAATGCTAACCTTTTCCAATATCTTTTTCTTAATTCATAAATGTTCGTAGTGCGTCGGATTCCACTTAACAAACAATAAACAGATATTATTAAGTAGTGAGTCGTATAAGAAATATATTGATAAAAATGATATAGTGAAGAGGGAAATGTTGATAATGAGGATAATGCTACTAATGCTGATAATGGTAATGGTAATTATAATAAAAATATTTAGTGAGTAAAGATA